CGAGGCTTTGCTGAAGCCGCTTTTGAACCAAAACTTGACAAGGGCAGGTCACACGTGGTGCTGGGGTGGGGGACAGAGGTGCAGGCAGGAGCAGGTTGGGCTAGGAAAAGAGATGGCTTGTCCCCTCAGAAGTGGAATGAGGTCTGGTACCCACCCCAAGTGACAGCCCTCCCCCCGTCTCTGCAGGCTCTGCCCTGCGCCCTGGGGCTCGGGACCCTGCTGGCCCTGCCAGGGGCCCTGGGCTCAGGTGGCAGCCGGGCCAGCTCGGGCTCCAGCTCTGTCACTGTCGTGCTGCTGCTGCTGCTGCTGCTGCTGCTAGTGACTGGCCTGGTGCTGGCCTGGCGCCGCCTCAGCCACGACTCGGGGGGCTACTACCACCCGGCGGCTCTGTGGGGCCGCACATGCCGCCTGCTGTGGGCCAGCCCCCCAGGCCTTTGGCTTCGGGCCCGGGCTGAGCCAGGATCGCTGGACGCTGACCCCGAGGAGCGGGAGGAGGACGAGAGAGAAGCGGAGGATGAGTCTGCCGTGGGCGGCAACGGAGGCAAGGCGGAAAGCAAGGCGGAGCAGCAGCTGTGTGCACAGGGGCCTGGCCCCGGACAGGCCCCAGAGCAGGCCGAGGCGGCCCCTGGCGACGACAGCAGCGAGGGGGGCCTGGGCCTCAGCCCCCAGGGGCCTGCGGGCTCAGGGGGCAGTGCCCAGGCGTTGCTCAGTGACTTGCACGCCTTTGCGGGCAGTGCAGCATGGGACGATGGTGCAGGGGCAGCCGCAGGCCGGGGCCCCCACATCACGGCGCTCTAGAGGCCAGCCTCGGCCCTGCCACACCCCTACTATTGTACATCCCTTTCTGAAGCTGCCGTCACTGTTCCTGGGCATTTGCTCCCCGCACCCCCACAAGGACTGCACCTCCCCATCCCACCTCCCACCCTAACAGCTTCCCCACCCACAGGGAAGAGGGCAGCATCTGAAATAAAAGCTCGCCTCCCAAAGGGCTGTGTGTGTAGCCACCCCTCCCTCGAGGCAGGGGCTGCCGCCCAGAGAAGAACCAGCCGGTGCCTTGACTTGTACTTTAATTGTGGGGTTTATGGCTTGCCCTGAGGGCCCAGAGAACCCCTGCAGCAGTGGCCCTCCATACCATGATTCATGGGCCACAGCTACCGGGCAAAGACATATACACATTCGCCACCCATTCCCTTCTTC